ACTGCCACAGCTGCCTCTGGCGCTGCTGGTGCCTCTGGTGCTGCCTCTGGCGCCGCTGGTGGGGCCAGCCTGCTCTTCAGGTGGAGTCTGGCATAAAAGGAGGAGCCAATGACATAGGAGGAGCCCTTGGCGCAGGAGCGTTGAATAGAGGAGCTGGTTCCTCTTGTCTGGGAACAGGAACCAGGGTAGCCACATACCCATCTGGCACTCCTTCTGTCAATGGCTGACTTGTCGCTGGTGGGGGCGCTGGAGCACTCTTGGCCAGAGCAGCCCCAGCAGACAAACTTACCCTGATGTTGGGCGTGGCATTGACCGCTGCCTTGGCCTTTGCCCTTGCGCAAGCGTCTCCATGTGCCCCTGCAGCATTCGATAGCCAGTCTTATGCACCGTCCGCTGTAGTCCATAGTATGACCGAAAACGATCCACAGACCGAAAATGAAGACGCCAACGAAATTTTTCAAGACGACCCCCTAGAGGACCATGAAAAGATGACCCAGACCGATGTCACTTCAGTTGTGTTCGTCAAGTCCACGGCAAGGTCCGTAAGAAGTATTCAGGCACAGACTGATGAACTCGCAGAACTAGAACCACTGCAGCGATGGCCCAAAACAAAAAAGGGATAAGAAGGATGATGGTGATCGAGAGAACGAAGATCCGGATGGTAATGATGAAGAACCTAAAGATGGTGATTGAGAACCAAAGGAAGACGATAATGATGAACCAGACAATCAAGATCAACCAGACGATGCAGATTTTCCAAATGATCATAATCAAGGTGCAAAAGGAGAACCAAAGGAAGAACCTAAGGAAGAAGACGTTGAGATGAAGGAATAAGCAAAAGATGAAGAAAAGGAGGCGCCGCAAGGTCAAGATCGAACATATGATCATATCAGTCAAGCATCAGATACTCCTTACATTCCGGAGAACAACGATCGAAAGCCGAGATCAAGAAGGCGAAGGCTACGTCAAAGACCTCAGTGCGAAAGCCAAACAACGTCCTAGACACGATGAACATCATGAGGAGCCCGTGCCAGATGCACCTTTAACGCACATCGTCCGCTCAGAGTGCTATGACCTGCCCCGTTGGGTATTGTAGATGAATATTTCGACTTAAATGCGTGTTCGAACAACGAGTTGTCGCTAAAGTTGCAAGACCTACCTCGATAGATGGCCTCGTATGCCGGGATAGAGACATATTTGCTGAGTACGTAAGCGCTGAGTTCCGTAGGCCCGTTCTTCGATACCGTTACAGCCATTTGTCAGAACACCACCAAACGGTCTTATGAACCACACTACTACGCCGTTCCGTGTGATCGAATTCCTCATGCATCTGGGCTTTTCTTTCTGACTACACCAGCTACAATCAGTCCACCGATTTCAAGCTCCCATGCCTGCATCACGTTTTGATCAATATTGTCAAGAGAGTGGGGAAATTGCAGCCGACTGTTCTGGAAACGGCGTTCTCTCATACCTCCAAGAACTTGCGGCCAAGCTTCTTTTGACCACATACCACGACAAGCGACAGATCCAACACAGCAGTATCGACGGACATGTGTCTGGAAGCTCTCTGACCATATTGACGTTGAATCTAGGTCCTAGGTCATTTTCATCGACCGCGCAAGTTGCCACGAAATCATTCCGGTGAGAAATACAAGGCCCCCAGGGATTATGAACCTGTCTTTCACAAGATGATCTACCAGCATAATGCTCACATCGTCATGGTCAATGAAGCCGACATACTCAATGATGCAATGATCTCTGATATCGTCCACCATGGTTTCGTGGGTACGCCAAGAATCTCGGAGCACCAGCCGTTGCTTTGTTTATGGAACACCAAACATTGTCTCAATTGATCTGTGTTACACCGATGCTCGCAAGTTGAATGACATGGAGACCTGGATCACCACTGGCTCCGTCTTTCGCATCAATTTTGGCAATAGGTCCGTGTCCCCGCCCGATGAATTTGAGGAGAGCAATGAGCGATAATCCGATATGATCGAGCAAACCAAGAAGGCCGGTGTCAACGAGTTCTTTGATGTCTTACCTCATGAACAGCAGCAACATTTCGATTAAGAGACTCGCGTTTTTCGTCCATGGTACGGGAAGATTGCGCAGAAGTTCGTGAGATACTTGCTTCGAAGCCAGCAGAGACATCAATTTCCGCAACATGAGGTCGAGATCCTAGGAACGAGTTCGTTGACCTGACCATCCAAGGAAACACAATGAAGGACGCAACAAAATGGGACTCTGAAACCGCTCTGAGGGCGGGACAAAACTCCCGTGGCCTGTGATCGCTGCCTGCCTGTCCCGTTTCATCCGAAACTGTCTTACCATGCACGTTGATTACTTTACGGGCGACGGCAACCCAGCAGTCAATCGTCGTTTCGATGACCAGGCTAGGGAGTCCGCTGTGGACTGATCCACCATTATCTCCGTGAGTTTATGTCCACTATCAACAAACAGGAGATGAAGCGCCTGCGACTCAACGCATCCATTCATAGCTCTATACTCCAGCAGTGTTCGAGGCACGGTGGATTGACCAGCACTTCCGATACAAAGACCGGCGATAGCATGCAATTGAACGGTTTCTTCGATGGCTTCCACCGAGCTGAGTAGGATTCCATATTTGGCGCTACGATCTCTTGGATGAAAAGAAACAGCCATCAGCACATGGTTTGCCATAAGTACGCTAAGAGCGACAGCTCTCAAGTAGATCCGAATGAACCTTACCAAACCCATATTTTCGATCCAGCCCTTGATGCTCGCGATGATCTAGAGAGCCGCTCAGGCGCAATCCGTCCGGCGCCGAAGATGCCATACACCGTGGAATCTGTCGAACGCTTTAAGCACCTGCCTCATGAAGCTCTATTGATTGGAGGAAATGACCAGAGCTGGCACTATCCGCTGCAAGTCGCAATCAATCATGTCCATTCCGCAGCTTCTGGCGGTGGTGACTGTTGAGACTTAAGGCCATGATTCGTTTCTTGAATTCTCGAAGAGCTTTGTTCCGATGCATTCGATGCTTTCGGTTTCACCTTCGACTAGGACTTGTACATATGTTGGCTGTATATAGGCAGATTATTAATATAAAGAGCTCCTTGAGTCCAATATCGACCAAGGCAATTTCACGCACAAAGGTTAGGAAAATCCCGTCTGTTTTGTGTTTCGTTTTTCTGTGAACAAACCGAGCATTGTCCGTTGGACCTCTCTCGAGACCGTGTTCTTTCCAATGGAAATCCACTGCATTGCACTTCGCGTCACCCCCCCAACCCCGAGAGATGGACTGTTAGGAACCATGCGACAAAGCCCTTTCATCAACAACAACAACAACAACCAGATGATGAACAACAACAACCACCATCACCAACCAACCAACCAACCAAACAAACAAACCCAACCCAACCCAACCCAACCCAACCAAACAAACAAACCCAACCCAACCCAACCCAACCCAACCAACCAACCAACCGACAACAGCCACCACACCAACACAAAAAAAAGAAACAAGAACAAGAACAACACTAGCAAACACAAGATGAACAACAACAATAATAATATGAGCAGCAACAACAACAACTAAACACAACAGCCAAAAAACGCAACAACAAGAAGACGAACAACGAGCCAACGACACAAACAAAACGATTATACAAGCAAAAAGATTGAACAACAACGACGACGACGACGACGACAACAACAACAACGATAATCACAACAACATGATGAACAACAGCCACTACTAACTACCACTACAACCACCACTACCACTACCACTACCACTATCACTATCACTACCACTGCCACTACCACTGCCACTATACTACTACTACTACTACTACTACTACTGCTACTGCTACTGCTACTGCTACTGCTACTGCTACTGCTACTCCTCCCCGCAAACCCCGCGGACCCCGCAAACCCCGTGAACACCACGAACCCCGCGGACCCCGCGGACCCCGCGAACACCACGTACCCCGCGGACCCCGCGGACCGCGCGGACCCCGCGGACCCCGCGGACCCCGCGGACCCCGAGGACCCCCCGAACCCCACGAACCCTGCGAACCCCGCGGACCCCGCGACTCCAGCCATGGCCGTGAAACCGTCGAGTGGAGCGTTTGCAAACCGTGCATCTGTCGCCGTCCGTTGATAACAGTTGCTCCTATGACATGGGAGGAGCACTGTTCTCTGCTGGATCTCATTGTATCCTTTCGGCCACAACATTTGCTACATCTCCGTTGATATCAGTTGCTCCCATGAACTCTTATCAACTTTCTTGCAAAGGCTCCGGTTTCGCATCAACCCGTATACAACGACATATTTGTATGACGGGCTATTCCGCATATCCTTTGATTTGGGCAGAAAACGGCTTTCGAATGAAACTGCACACAACAAAAAACATAACGAGACATGAACAGATTCTGAAAACTGCAGCGCCAACGAAGAGTACACAAATAGACGTCGCTTCGTTCTGCTGGCTCGGCCAAAGCCCATTTCCCGGTCCGAGATGCTTTCGTGCGCAAAGCCCCTATGCACGAAATGACTGCTCTTATTCGAACACGCGTGGCATCGGCGAAGTTCTTGGCAAAGATGTGTTTTTTGCTTCAGTATTGAACGACCGCAGCTTGCGATACATATCTGGGATTCGAATGCCTGGAGGTGGAAATTCTGAAGAATACTTGCTGAAGCGTGCAAGAAAAAGTTTCTGCAGATCGCAAAATCGTTTCTGAAGATTGCGAAAAAGTTTCTGAAGATTGCGAAATGGTTCCTGAAGATCGCAAAATAGTTTCTGAAGATCGCGAAATAGTTCCTGAAGATCGCAAAATAGTTCCTGAAGATCGCAATAAGGTTTCTGAAGATCGTGAAATAGTTTCTGAAGAGCGCGAAATAGTTTCTGAAGAATAGTCTAGTTCTGAAGGGTAGTTGCAGAAGAGTACCAAATAGTTGTGGGAGAAAAGTTTCAGTTGCAGAATCGGACTTTGTTCAGCGTGCTACGCCATGGCCTCTTTGTAATGTTGTGTCCCACGAAGTGCTCGCAGCGCGCCTTGAATCTCCTGTCGAATCAACGTCAAGCTCTTGAAGGCACGGGCATGGGTGGAAGTATGCTGCCGCGTTGCTGCATATTGGTATGCTTGACACCCCGAATGCAGCTGAAGGTTCGAAATGAAAAATATACTTAGAACCTCTTGGAACCAGCAGTGCATCGAAACCCCATCCTTGACGTCCACACCAGTCAGCGCCTCTTCGAAGCAGCGCCGTTTCTGCTTCGCCTGTGACAAATCATGCCAATATCGCTTCGGGCCCTCCAGAAGAAGGGCCAAAACCTAACATCTAGGGAACATTGAGTGTTGGACACATATGTTGAAACACTGACCACATACGTTGAAGCACTGACTGTCTCTTTGAAACTTGCCTGGAGCCTAGTCTCCATGTGATTGCGCCGCCTTGTGCACTGACATTGTCAATCCACCACCAACACGTGATGCCATGAGAACGCGGCACAAGCTCGACCCGAACAAACTTTGAATATTGACCCCAAGGCCGTTGATACATGGTGGTTGATCAACATTCGTTCATCCTAGAATGGCCCTTTTTTGTGTGTGGAAAATATTCGCGGATCTTTCGCGGCCTCATCGCGAAGCATAGTCCTACAACCATGTCTAGCTAACATGGGGCGGAACTGTTCATGTTTGCCTCACAATGTAGGGGCTGACATCTAGCAGCATTACCCCAGCAGAAGGCAAAAAGTTTCCACAGCTACTCAGCGTCACTGGCTGCGTCTGTGCGACACCTGTGCGACAAACAATATCCTCAGTCCTGGTGAAGGCTTAGAACAACCTTATGAATACAACAAGGCGCAACTCAACCCAATCCTCGTGCCAGCTACCAAAACAGGGTGATGCAGCCCGGGGGGGTGTTGGGGGGCCTCAAGCTGGGGAACCTGGACTTTAGCGGCACATGTGCGAAATGTTTGCGGATCTATCGCGAAATTTCACTGGTTATTTTGCCCGGGAAGGCGTAACATTTGCAAACATCTGCACAGCCCGTCAGACCCGGTGCAAAATCGTTTTTCTGACTGTCAGGGCTGTGCCTACTCAGGTTGCTAGGCTGTGACAGTGGAGACGGGAATTGGAGAATCCTTTACGCACCGCGAGGCCTTGGCAAGGAAATGTTGAGGCTTCAGTTCGCTAGTCTGTGACAATGGGCCGCGGGGACACTTCCGCCCACCTCTGCCAGAGGATTGCCGGTTACCTCGTATGTCTACCGTAGAAAAGAAAACATATGAAAGTGAAGACCTTCGATAAATCTTTACCGGTGAAAAATACTTTCGCGAGTCTTTCACGGGTGGTTTTAAGAGCATAGAAAAGACGCTCTTCAGGTGAGCGCCCGAGGATTGCCCCGTCGTGCCCGTAAGACGGGCATCTTTGTTCCATACTACATCCTAGCCTACTAGGAGGGCATCTTCTTTTGGGTTGCGCACTCCTGCTACCGCATTGGTAGCGGAGCGCGTGGTTCCGCTCCAGCGCTCTGGTTGGATCTACGCCCGCGCTTCATCTTGGACACCGTGAGTGCAGGAGGTCTTCAACCACGAGCGGCCGGACTAGGGCCCGGTCAAGATCGCCTCCCGAGAGGTTCAGTGTCCGGTGTCCTTCCAGTTTCCTACGGATATCCTCCGGAAGAACCTCATCCTGAACCTCCGGTGCGAGAGCGCGTTGAGAGACCTGAGCCTGATCCTGAACCTGAGCCAGGCTCCTCTCCGACGAGTTCGAGAAGTCGAACACGTGGACTTGGAGATTCGGGCGGAGGACTTGGCTCGGATCACTCGCCTCGAAGGCCTGTGGCTGCAGCCTTGACGCCGACTTCGTGGTTGCTGCAACTTCTTTTTCCTTTACCTCAAGGTTATTGACTTTGACCTGACGGTCTGCTTTGAGGAGTTCTTCACTGGTGGAACTGCACCAACACTTTTTCCAGTTCTTTGCCAACGGCAACTTTGCAATGGAGCCAAAACAAACGGCTGAGACAATTCCCTCATAAAAAGGGGATCCAAGAGGATGGCGAAGATACCAAAGAGAGGTATCATGGTAGTGGCTCGCGCTGCAAGAGAGACCAAGGACTACGAGAAGGTTCCTCAAGATGATCCTGATCCAGCTGATCCTGGTGAGTCTGCATCCAGGGCCCCTTCACGACGAGGCCCAGCTGCTCTCCCCACTACAGATTCATTCATCCTCACTCAACTCAGAGAATGGCGACTGTTGAGTGGCACTGCGCTCAATGGTGAGGAATGGCGCTCGATCCCTGCGAGTGCCAAGAACCAGTTGGACCACGACTCGGTGAGCTCAGCCCTGATGATCCTGTTTGATGAACAGGCTCAACACCATCGACAACCTCATGCTACACCTCCATCCCATTCACTTCACACGGTGGAGGAGGAGGACTGGTCATGGAATGATGATGTTTCTTCAAATTACGATCCCTGGGCTTTCATGGCATGGGAGAATGGTGATGGAATTCATCCGACTCCCCCAGGTGGTAAAGAAGGAAGGTGCAACTTAGCCGTCCTTCTTCACTATCCACCCCATGTCTCGCGAAGGCTTTGTCCAAGAAGGCGCTCTCCAAACCACTTGCCTCTGCTGGGAACCTCGGCGGCTTCTCCATGGCTCGCGGACCTTGGAGGGGGGTAGCTCCGTCATCGAGAGGCACCTATGCGCTCCGGCTCTCAGATAGTTCAAGCACTGTTCCTGGGCTTTGAGGACCATCGCTTGGCTCTCCCTCAAATAGAGGTCAGCCATGGAGTCTTTCTGGGACGCCGGAACGAATCACCCGGATGGCAACTCCAGGTGTTGCATCCACGACAGGGTGGCTTTTGCTCCATGCCAGCGATGTGGTCTCACTCAGGCCGATGCTGACGTCGCTCTTTCCCCTCAAGGTTCTGGCTCGGAGACCTACTATCCCTGCTTCTCCTGGACGTCGAACCCACTCCAGGCAGCCTAGCAGTGTACCCTTCAAACCACTTTACTATATACCTAATTGAAGCTTGTACGCACAACCTGAGCCTTCCTGCGGCTACCCTTTCCGGCGCGGGTTTGTAGGGGTCAAGAACAATCTTCTCTAAGGTGCACAAAGTGGTTTTGATGAAGCGCGCCCTCTCAGGGTACAGCTCCCTGGTCTTGACATAATAGTCTGAACCTCTTGGCTCTTCCCCAGTGCCCCCCGACTGTGACATACCCGAAGGCCTTCGCATAGAAGTCCAGCGGTCCTTGGAGTCATATATCCTAGAGATAAGCCGTAGCATAAGCCGCGCATAGCCCAAGCCAGTGGAAGCCCGATTTTTGGACGAGTGTGAAGTCGGAAGCGCTCGACCACTATCTCGCCCCCCTTCACGGCGACCGGGGTGAGATCCATCTCCACCTGAGCACTCTTCAGGAACTCGTAGATCTTCAAGGTCTTATCGAAGAACTTCTCCAAGTCGATCTCTTCCTGTTCATTCAAAGATCTCGCTTTCCGGGCTCTTCCTCTCGGAAGCGGTACCTCGAACTTCCTAGCATCCGGTGTCCACTCTTTTGATGGTGGTCTTGCGTGCTTTGGAAGGTCACTCTCTCCTCGACCTCGCTAGACTTAGCACTGGTTTTGGACTTTCCTTCATCTTTGGGCCGGGCTTCGGCCACATTAGCTCCCCTCTCCAGTGGGACCGCAGGCTTTGCGAACTTGATTGGCGATTTTGTCCTACCGAACAAGTTTCCCGGAGGATCGTGCGGAGAAGCCGCTGGTCGAGCTGAATATCCCTCTTCTCCAAATGGGTATTTGGGCGGTGGAGGGGGCCTGGAGCTGGCAACGACCCAAGGGCGTAACTCATCCTTGTTTTCACCAATGGCATCAAGGATTGAGCGTTGTTTGGCTAGCCCCGTTTCCCATTTCAGCTGCTCGCTCGCTTCTTCGCCCGCCGAATCGTCGACCGGGGCCATGCTCTCCGGTGAAATAGGTCGTTTCATGGTGGAAATCTGCAAAGAGAGAGCTCTGCCTTCCTTCCCTGACCGTATTACATCGACCAGTTCCCCCCATCTAGGAGGTCAGCGATCTCAAAACCGTGGCCACAACGCCAGTATTCATGGGTGGCCTTCCACCCAGTACCTGTCCCGATCTCTTGTCTTCTCCATTACTCCCAAGGGAGATTTGGAGAAGAACAAGGGCGCCCAGGACTTGAGCCAAAATGGCACCGCGTCAGCTCGGTTTTTCGAACATCCACTTTAGCACACGCAAGTCGTGAAGAGCCAGGGGCCAGCGTGCTTGCAAAAGCTAAGGCCCTAAACTCCTAATTGAGCTTAAACCCATCGATGTCGGTTCCATTTGCTGCCAAAGTGCGCAGGGCAGTTCTCCTGCATCCATGACAATGAAAGACAAAAAATGTAGGTGAATTGAAAATCTGTGAAAAACATGCTGCTGCGTCGGTGAAGTTTTTGCTCGCCTTCTCCGCAGCTTGATACCTCACGTGGGTCAGTAGAGAAGCGTTTACCCATCGTCACCAGACATCCCGGATCTTTGCAAAGGCCGCAACTGTGGAGCTGCACTTGAGTTTGCTTTCTTGCAGGCATTGGTTGGGCTCCCAGCGCAAATGGTTGCTTTGGATTCCTTGCTTCGGCGTACCTGCAACTTAACCAAATCATGACAGCTCACAAACAACAAATGCACCTGGTGACTGCGGGTTCCAAATCTGCTCACTATATATATATATATATGTGTGTCTTTCGTTTTAAAGATTCTTGAGCCCACAGGCCAGCCTAGCTGCTCGTGGGTATGGCGTCCGCGGGCGGGGAGAATGCAAGCTTGCCTCACACATGGGATAATACACTGAGAGCCCAGAACACTTAATCTGACATGACACCTGAGAAACGTAACGAACCCATGCACATTGATGAAGGGCAAGGCATGAAACATTACAGTAAGTGGAATGAAGAATAGAAAATGTCCACTGAACCACTGCAAAGTCTGATCACTGGCCACTGCCGTATCAAAAGTCCAATCTTCCACCTTTGCCCAACGGAGCCAAACGCCTGCTGTTGCTTCCTTTGCTTCTTTTTGGAGGCGTTGCCCTGGTACTAGGCGCGAGCAAGTGCCCGCAATCATTTCGGAAGAATGGGACGTTCCCCTTGCAGCCTGTGTAGAATCATCTATTTCGGATCCGATGGTTGATATGTACTGGCACAGAGTGCAAAATCAAGCCAGCCCTCGAATTCTGTGTCTGAAGTGATCAGCAAGGACAAACCGCATGCCTCCCTCTACAAAGAGCCGTTTCATCATGGTGTTGGATCCCAGCATGGCGCTATGCAAAATGCTCAAAACTTCCATCACCAGCGATTGAGCAAGCTACCCTGACACCCGCAGTGCCCGTTCTTTTGCGGGAACCTACCTGAGTGAAAGCAAGCTGCTTGCTGCCTACACCCTTGCGAAAGAGTGGGGCTAATGTCCCAATACAGAATTAAGTGCATGGTTGTTGCTCATCGGAAGTACCATCTGCACACAAATACGGCCACATGCAAACACATCACCAAATCGATGCATACAGAAATACCAGAATCAAACCTGTTTTTCTAGCCATACCCTGCTGTGAGATCCAGTCAGGTCTGTTGCAGGGCGTTGGTGCAGCTAAGGAAAAGCACATGCAGCTATATAGTATAAATGATTCGATCGATGGTTGCATTGTATGTTTGAGTATCTTCATCAAACTGCTCAGAATAATCGTATCCCATTCGAACTTGTTTACATGATATACATGCGTCGTTGATTCAATCTGTTTGCGCGGGTTTACGGGCTTACACGTGTTTACGCGGGTTTACTCGGGTTTAGGGTTTATTCGTGTTTACGCGGGTTTACACGTGTTTACGCGTGTATATATACGGATTTGTGCATGTTTGCGCGTGCTTGCAGTGTTTGAGACAATATTACTGGCACACGAAACTTGCCGTCGCTGCGAAAGACAAAAGACTCTGGCAAATGCTCAGGTGATTTTGGATGTCGTGGCTCAGAACAAAAGCCGTACATATAGGGCCAAACGGTTTAAAATGTCTACCTTTGCGCTGTGCGAATTGGCTTAGTATTAGAACTGGCCATTTGGTAGGCCGGGCGTTGCCAAATAGCGGAAGCTTACTGTACGTGTCTAGGTTTCCGCTGGTAAGGGAATTGGTTGGATTTGATCGTTGAATCAGTGCGATTCGGAAATGGTGTAATCGGTAAACCGGCGCGGTCAAATAAGACGCGCGCGTACGGCGATCAACTCTTTTTGCCTCTCTGACGGCAGTTTTAGGTTGGAAAGAAACTTGACGAAGAGATTATTCGCGACAAGATCAGATCACGTGACCAAGTAGGATCGTTTTTCTTGAAAGGTAGGATTGGCTAAATATACTGTAAATCGAAAAAACGTGTCCGAATTTTGGAGATTCCCCTCAAACATCCTAATTGGAAGGTTTTCTTCAGCATGGTCCCTTTGAGTTGAAGTGTCTCGAGGTCGTACAACAGTCTGAAGCGTACACTGTAACGGCATCAAAGATTATAAGATTAGCAGTTGCCACTTGAGATTCACAAACGTTGCCTTGCAATAAGGCGACAGACTGCACCAAGTGGCCTTACTTATTGCATTTAATGTGTTTCTGTATTTAATGCCGTATGTTGGCTTCTCTGTTGATCTCATACCCTGAGTAGGCTCAAACTTCTTGGGAACGGTTCGTCATTGCTGGCAAATGTTCGCAATATGGACCAGGCCACCACTATGCATCTGTGGAAAACAGAATAGTGATGAATAAATAGTCTAGTGTGAAAAGCCACGTCGAAGTCGAGGTTTGGTATGCGACTATGCGACCGCTGTGAACCCTGCGACTTGTTTTTAATTGAATTGCGGAGTCCGCACCTGACATCACTACGGCAAAAAAAGTGGGAGATATGGGCAGCCCTTCCTACTACCAGGTGGGAATGAGCTACAGCTATGGGCATCTTTAACCAAAACGTCAGCTCTTTGTAACAGTCCTGAATAACATCAGATAATATTAAAGGTTAATCATGTTGCATCTGCTACCAAATGCCTGTTCCCAATATACAGAGCCAAACTTGAACGCTTCCCTTAGCCTCCCCATAATCCTGGACTCTATGAAATATATACATGAAAGGGACGTTGACCTGTTGGGTCTAAAACAACGTTGTGTTGCTGACGACTTGTTCTCGATCGCATCTTGCATTCGCTGTCGAATTATAACCGTAATGTTGCTCAGCAAAGGAATTGCACTCCCTGAAACAAACATAGAAGTGGACAATCCCCTGTTTGTAGAGGAAAATAGTGTTGCACGAGGCCTTTGTCCACTTCCATGATTGTTGGAGGGAGGGTGATCTATAATTTTCAGCATTGCTTTCGAAAATTTGTCCTTCATGCCCCGAACCTCCATCCAAATCATGTGTCCAATGCTTAGGTCCAAAATAGTGGGCAATTGGTTGGGCTCTATATGCGTGATAGCAACATGCGTACCTCGATCGTTTTTCTTCAAATATCGCGGCGGTGCCAATTCTCACTTGAATCCTTAAATGCCTTCCATGGACCCTTTCTCCCGGATCTCTTGGATTTTCGTTGAGCTGCTGAACCAGGTGGTTTTTGCAATCGACCCGTGCACCTTCTCAGAATGCTTGACTAGTCCGCCGTCGGACGTCTTGGGAATGCGTCCCATTCCTAACCTGTGATGATCCAAATGTTACTGCTCAAATGTTTTTTTTGCACTTTGTTTGTTGCCAAATGTTTTTTCCTGTCGTCAATCTTGCCCCCTGAATGGGCATAGACTACGCTGAGAGGCTTTGTCGATCTATGATCCTCCGCGCTAAAATTGCACGCTGCCCCTACCTCGCACTGACCCTGCATCAATTGTCAGAAATCTCATTGCTTAAGGTTCAAGCATGCACGACAGGCACAGAGCTTGAGAGGGATCGCGAGCTTCTGTCCTGGAGTTTGGCTCCAGGAACTGAAATGGTTTCAAGCAGCTTCACATTCGTCTGATTGAAATCATTCACCATCAGGAATTTCCACATTCAGTGGGATTTGATCAACGAAGCACTACAACATCTGATGAACTGAATTCCTGTCATCTTCAATTTCTGCGGTCGCAACTAGACATGTATCTGTTTTCTGAGTTATCTGAGTTATATATCTGTCTATGATTCATTGTCAATGAATGAAAATTGTAGCCCCTTGCAACCCAAAATCTGCACTGCTGGGCCACCCACCATCCCGTCGGAGCTGGCTGTTCTGGCTGTAAAGGTGCTATTCGAGGCAGACCTGGCGGGATTTGGCTGTTTCGGCCAGTCCAACGAATTAGCTATTAGGTTCCTTTCGCTACTAGGAGCACAGGGCATCGCTACTAGGAGCAAGGACGCTACTAGGGGCTCCTGGCATCGCTACTAGGAGCAAGAAGCTATTAGGTTGGAGGCCATCGCTAGCCGTCCATCGCTACGACACCCCTTCTTCAGGCCTGAGTGCACGATCCACACCTGGCCCGAGTGTTTGAGAATTTAACCTCCTGTGTTTCGTAGTCTAATTTGCTGGACCAATCTCATGCGACTTTGCCATCACGGTGGGCATCACAACGTGCAATTGTGTCATGGCTTCACTTTCTCAACTCTTCATTGCTAGAGGCAAAGAATGAGGTATGAACATGATTCAAGTCATGTGAGACCCAAACCCATAACCATACTATGGACCTTGCACAACCAGACCTGTTGAGGAAATGAATAAAGATTTGACGGTCGGATGCTTATTGACTACCATTTCATTATGTTGCGATTTGTGTTAGCACCGGTTTGCTGTCAAGTTTCTCATCCAGTTTCTCATTCAGGGTTTGACTCTCTCCAAACTGGTGCGCACATCTGCACCACTGTTTTGGCGCAACGGCGCTCATGTCTGCGGCAGGTCGTCTTGCCAACTACTGAATGCCTGCGGCGGTACCTGGGTGCCAAGAGTTGAGAATTGCTAGTGTGCTGAGTTTCCTCTTTCTTCCCTTTGTGCCCTCTATATTCCAGAGATATTTTGGCCAAAGCATAGGGGTTGCCTTTTGATAGGCCACAGCCCTGCACGATCAACCCTAACGGAAGCTGCAGGGAGGCGCAATCTATCTGCAAGCAAGGTGCTGCAAGTGCTCCTGGCATCTCATCCATTTCATCTGGTTGGCACTGGTGACCACAATTGCGGCAGCGATGAGGCACAAAGACAGGTACATAAATCACCTGGCGCTGCTCCGCATAGCTGGACGGGAGAGCATGTAAGGGTGGCAGCATAAATCCTCCCGAAGGACTTGGCTCACACTCAGGAGTGCTTGGAAAAAGGCCCGGAGGTGTTGTCACTGAACACCGGTCACTTGAGTCCAGCGATAATTGTCGGGCCAGAAAGCTGCAATCTTGACTGTTAAACCTTGGTCGTGGCCAGTGCTCTGGGAAGTGCGACGGAGTTGGCGGTCGCTGCTCAAGGCGGCTGGGTGCTGAAGGTGTCCGCCCAATGCTACCGTGGCGGGATTGAAAACGTGGCTGGCTTGGCTGCGGGGGTGGAAGGGAGGGCAGAGATGGTGATAAATCCGTGCTCAAAGGGTCCCAACCAAGCCCGAAAGGGGGGACATTGACCTCAATCTCTGGACTTAAAGACATCTCACACGGTGCTTCTTCCAGACCTTCCAGGTTCATCTCCCAGCGTCTTTCCTCCTCGAGTTCTTCTACCAAGCGTTGAACAGTTTGAGCAGTTCCACTGGACACTGTTCGCATCATCGAGATGGAGTGCTCCTCTTCTGCAGTCTCGGAGTAGGAAAGGGTGGATAGGCCCGACTTTGCACGGCCGTCCTTGTCCGAGCCCACTTTGGGGGCCAGTTTGGGGCTGCTCCTTGAGCATTCAGCCACTGGCTCCTTGCCCACAATTCTCATACTATTTAGATGCCCATCTGTCTCCAAAACATCCCAAGTGGTCTCCAAACCATCCTTGTAGCTCTTGACTGTCCACTTGCAACGATTGCGAGCTCGCCGTACTGCTGGACTCTCATGAGCAGTACCTACCGGTTCATCTTGCTCCGTCACTTCTTGGAAAGCACTGAACCGATTGCCTTCATCTCGTACCTTTAGATCACCAGCACTGCTTTCAGACGATGCTTCTGAGGGAGCCCCTTCCTCATGCGCCTTAGGCGGCTGAGGCTGAGGCACAGCCTCTAAGCATTCGGAACGCTTCCGCTCCTCTTCTTCGAGCAATTCACTAGCGTAATGCTCCGCCAATTTCTCCCTCGCCTTCTGCATCAATTCCTCCTTCTCGGGGTCCAGCTGCACAGCGGGCATTTGACTCATTGGACCATTCATTTTTGCAGCCGCCTTCGAGGCGGCCTCCCAGCAAATATCGCAAAAGCGCTGCACACGCTCGTCTGGCCAATAGCCCTGCAAAATCGGAGAGAGTTCCTCCACCAACGAGCTTCGCCTCAACAGCTCTTGTCCGAGAACTGCTTGGGTGATCCGCTCCAGGTGCAAGGTAACATCACTCCTGGCACAAGGCCCTCGTAACAAGGCGCCGGGAGAGATACTTGGCAAAAACAAAAGATTATCAAACCGTCCCCCAAAAAATGACACAATGAAGCAATGAAAGTAAGGTGTATATAATAAGACCCCCTCTAAAGGTGCTTTTTTCATAAACCCTAGCACTCCCCAAAAAGCTGTTGAAACGGACATCCTCACCCAAGGCTCAAAAGCGCAGTGCCGCCCGACCTGACATCCATGGCCAAGGCTGCGCGAAAGGCAGCCACAGCTAGACCCGGTGCCAGTGGCCCAGCAACGCAGATCTCTCCAACTGCACTGCGGCGAGCAGCGCGCTTCGCTTTGGGCATCGCAGTGGGGCGAATGGCTGGCCAAAGTCTATCAATTTGTACCAAGATCGCTCACAATTTGGCCTTCGGCCAGGCTTCTGGTCGTGCAACAGAGGCATGGTAGGGGCACATTTGACAAACGGTCCCCCCACTTGGAAACTTGACATGCTACAAGAGACCTTCAAGAGCATGTGATACGTGTTTCTCACAAGTAGGGTTGAGAAACCCTTCAAGGAGGGCGGCATGCCACCTCATAGCAACCCACCAAACACCAAACAACCAAGAAGCACAGCCCAGCATCTACAACCAAGGAAAACACAACCTTCATGCGCTTGCGAATGTCAGAATATGTAAGGCCACGAGCTATGGCCTGTAGCATGCACCCGCTCCGCTGCCTGCCGGGGACTCGGTAGAAACAGCCAGCCACAACTCAGCGTAATGCTCTTCCACCCTATCCCAAATCAAAAATACTGGGCATCGTTTTGGCGTCCGTCAACCTTATGAAAGTGTGCCTTGCGGATTGGTATCCGGAAAGGTGTCTTCCAGTTCATGAGAAAAACCGTGGGAAAGTGATGTTCGGCAGTTGCATCTTGACTTCACTGCACAGGCCCCGTGGTTTGTAGTCTTTGCAGGTTGCATCGCTGTGCCATTGGGAATTGGGGTGCCAATAAGGTGCTTCGAGGTGTTCTTTTGAGACTTAGAAGCGAAACCGTTTTTGTGACAAGTCTGAAGCAAGCTTTCGTTTTTCCCCAAACAGTTTACTGTTAGGGGCTCTCAATTCTTTCTTACGATGTGTCCGCCCTTTGTGTCACTGCTGGTGTCCGCCCTTTTCCGCTGGCCATGTAGCACTTCTATTCATTTGTCTCCCAGGTCTGTCACTGCTAGTGTCCGCCCTTTTCCGCTGGCCATGTAGCATGTCTATTCATTTGTCTCCAAGGTCCGTCGCTGCTGGTGTCCGCCCTTTTGCGCTGGCCATGTAGCATTTCTATTCATTTGTCTCCCAGGTCTGTCACTGCTGCTGTCCACCAATTTCCGCTGGCGATGCAACATTTCTAATTATTCACTTGTCTCCTAGATCTGTCACTGGTCGTGTCCACCCTTGTCCGCTGGCCATGCAACATTTCTATTCATTTGTCTCGCAGGTCTGTCACTGCTGGTGTCCAACATTTCTATTCATTCCCCAAACAGTTTGCCGTTACGTAGGGTTTCTCCATTCTTTCTTAAGATGTGTCCGCCCTTTCTGTCACTGCTGGTGTCCGCCCATTTCCGCTGGCCATGCAGCAGTTCAATTCGTTTGTCTTTTTAAACTGATTGTTGTACTTTTGTCTCCCAGGTTCGGTGCTGCACTGCTGGTGTCCGCCCTTTTCCGCTGGCCGTGCAGCATTTCTATTCATGTGTTTCCCATGTGGTGTGTTTACTTTTGTTTTCCAGGTTCGGTGCCTGCACTGCTGGCATCCGCCCTTTTCCACTTTCCAGCATTTCTATTCATTTGTCTCCCAGGTGATTTCTGTACTTCCCCAAACAGGTTACTGTTAGGGGTTCTAAGTGCTTTCTAAGAGTGTCCGCCTTATTACGGACAGCGTGTCCGCCTTCCGTCCGGCTTGTCTCCCTTGGTCTCCCTTCTTGCTGGTCACTGTGTCCACCTTGTCTCCCTTCTGTTTCCTTTTGTCTCCCTTCTTGTTAGTCACTGTGTCCGCCTTGTCTCCCTTCATTCTTTCTTTGTCTCCGGTCTTGCCTCCCTTCCTGTGCGTCATTGTGTCCGTCTTGCCTCCCTTCTGTTTCCTTTTGTCTCCATTCTTGTCTCCCTTCTTGTTGGTCATTGTGTCCGTCTTGTCTCCCTTCTGTT